TGGTAAAGAGTCCACCTGCAGTGCAGGAGACCTGGGTTCGATCCCTGGGTAGGGAAGATCCCCTGGAGAAGGGAATGGCAACCCACTCCAGTATTCTTGCCTGGAGAATCCCATGGACAGAGGAGCCTGGGGGGCTATGGTCCATGGGGTCGCAAAAGAGTTGGACACAACTGAGCAACTAGACAACAGCAACAAATATAGGGACTAACTATAGAAACAAAACTCGGTCATTAGCTCTTTGGCTTAGCCTTTTCTTCCTTAAAATTAACTCATTCAGTCCAATTCATTGAATTCTCGTTTATATGTGATATAAACGAGGCAAGGGAGATAGAAATGATGTGCAAGGTGAGAAAGTTCTAGATAAAAAAGGGAAAGTATGGAGGAAATAACGTTGGTAGATACTGGGAAAATGAGGGTACTTACTGGAGGAAACAAATGTGAAACAGAATGGAACAAAAACTATGGAGATTTAGTTGGGGAGATAGGGAAGGGAAGACAGAAGGAGGAGGAATAAGGCAAGTTTATAAAGTTTATCGGTGAGAAAGGATGGTGACTAAGAAATGAAAGAAGGAAGTCATTGCAAATGGCCACAGGCTGTGAAGCAAGACAGTTTCACAACAGGTCTGAGTGACTCTTAGCGTCTCAGATGGGAAGGGACTAATGGCCAACTTTCACTACATTCCTGACAGACAGATGGACATCAGCCTCCTGGGACATGCAGACTGGTGATGGTCTGTGAGTTGTCACCTGGCCATGATAATATAAGTGGGACAGGAAGATGGGACATTTTGGATCTGAATTTAAACTGTAATTAAAGTTTTGTGATTTGACCATCAGACATTCAAAGACTTCGATAGCACAATGATTCAGTTTTCATAGACTCTGAAAAGGGTCAGATTTTATAGATATCTGAAATGGTCAATATTTAAGGAAGTCTTTTTTTTTTTTTTCTTTTCTGTCCTCTTAGCCATTGACTATACCCCGCCAGCTGCTGAAAGAAAACTGTACCTTTAAAATATATATATATATATGTATTTATTCATTTTTTTGCTGTGGTGAGTCTTTGTCGCTATGCATGGGCTTTCTCTAGATGCAACAAGTGGTGTGTGGGCTCGGTAGTTGTGGGACATGGTCTTAGTTCCCTCACAGTATGTGGGATCTTCCCTGGCCAGGGATCGAACCCGTGTCCCCTGCCTTGACAGGCAAATTCTTAACCACTGAACCACCAGGGAAGCCCCCAGAAAACTGTACTCTTTAAAAGTGATTATTTTTCGCTGTGAAAACATGCGGCAGTAGTTGACCTCTGTACAATGTGGGTTTGAACTGTGTGGGTCCATATATGCGGATTTTTTTTTTTTATCAGTATTGCATGGGTTTACTGATACGCAGATTAATTGAAGAAAATCTACATGTAGGTGAACTCATGCAGTTCAAACCCATGTTGTTCAAAGGTCAGTTGTACATGATCCATGATTGGTTGAATCTGCAGATGCAGGTGCGGGGGGCTGGACTAAGGGACTTGAGAGTCTGCAGATTGTGCTATCTCTGTGGGTCCTGGAATCATTCCCTCAAGGATACCAAGAGACGACTGCATAGTCATCTTTAGAACAAAAGTCCAGTCGCGTAGCTGAAAAGTAGGAAGGGGGCACGCTGACCAGCCTCTCTGTAACCCCGGCCTCCCTGCCCCTGCGCTGTCCGCAGCCCGTGGGCAAGCACAGCCGGCTCTGGCTGGAGCCGCTCGAATTCTCGGTGGCGCTCCTCTCCGTGAACACACTTTGAAACTAGTGCCTTTAAATAGGTTCAAGACTGCGTCTAGTCAGGATTAAGAAGCCAGAGTAATCTGAGCAGCAAAAGTTTAGAGGACTTTTGACTACAACAAGAGATTCTAGAGTAATGAGGGATTGGCCACAATGAGGAAACTACAAATTCAAGGCGTAGTCGATGTAAGGAGCAGCTGAGATGCAGGCTTGATTGGCCAGGACAGATCAGCGCGTGGCAGAGAAGCCACGCTGGTGGAATTTGCTTGAAGTCAGCCTCCTGGAACGCGCCAGAAATCTGTCCTCTGTGGTGCCGGGGAACGCAGTTCACAGGGAGGAGTCTCACCAGAGACAGTTTACTGCAAAACTGCCTCCAGGAGTTCCAGGGCAAGCTGCCGGGTGCCGCGGGCAGCTGTACCCCCAGGAGCCTGCCCGGCTGTGGGACCAGGGCCAGGCGGCAGACTCTCCCCCTGCGGTGTCTCCCCAGCACCCTCCACGGAGACGCTTCGCACCCTGCCAGTTCACCCTTCAGAAGGCTCAGATCTGTTGCCGTGGAGCCTGCAGAGAGGGTGGACTCGGGGCTGAGGAGGCGACATGGTAATAGCCAGCACAGTGACTTAGAAATATGAATGCTGACACCATCCTCAGTGAAACACTCCCTGAGGGCGCGTCTGCGTACAGTGGACGGTAGAGCCCAGTGTTAGTCATTTCAGCGGGGTTCTTACCACTTCTGCTGTCTTTCTTGACTGAGAATATGGAATTTGCTTGAAGTCAGCCTCCTGGAACGCGCCAGAAATCTGTCCTCTGTGGTGCCGGGGAACGCAGTTCACAGGGAGGAGTCTCACCAGAGACAGTTTACTGCAAAACTGCCTCCAGGAGTTCCAGGGCAAGCTGCCGGGTGCCGCGGGCAGCTGTACCCCCAGGAGCCTGCCCGGCTGTGGGACCAGGGCCAGGCGGCAGACTCTCCCCCTGCGGTGTCTCCCCAGCACCCTCCACGGAGACGCTTCGCACCCTGCCAGTTCACCCTTCAGAAGGCTCAGATCTGTTGCCGTGGAGCCTGCAGAGAGGGTGGACTCGGGGCTGAGGAGGCGACATGGTAATAGCCAGCACAGTGACTGAGAAATATGAATGCTGACACCATCCTCAGTGAAACACTCCCTGAGGGCGCGTCTGCGTACAGTGGACGGTAGAGCCCAGTGTTAGTCATTTCAGCGGGGTTCTTACCACTTCTGCTGTCTTTCTTGACTGAGAATCGACTGAAAAATTTTTTCTTCACTTGTAATAAAAGTGTCACTCATAGACACACCTAGAGTGCAGTGAGCAGAAGGGAAGTGCCTTTTGTGTAAAATTGTTAGTTGAGGAGAAACTGCAGAGGCAGGAACAGCAGATAGGGAATATACGGGGGAAACAGAGTTGTCTAAATATCCTCTTTCTACCTTCAGATGCGGTGTATATCCCATCAATTCCGCCTACCTAAAGGCCTCGCAAGGCCTCACGTTGCACCAGAGTGAACTGGCTTCTTTCTGTTTGTGGAGAACTGTTATCCTAGGGTCATCCCTCACCATTCCCTTCCCTCCTTTCTTGTGTTGGATCATGTCTTTTTTGGTCCAAAATCTTCCTCTTTCTGGATGTTTTCTGGGACAGTTTTCAGAACAGCATTCTGAGAAGTGTTACAGGGGAGATCATTTGTTTTGAGACTTTGTATAGCTGGAAATATCTATTCTGTCCTGATATTTGGTCAGCATTTTGGCCGGTTAAACTACTCTCCGTTGCACACCCTTCAGAGTACATCACTTGTCTTCCACTGGAGCTGGGCAGCCTTCCTCAGCTGGGCAGGGGAGTTGTTACCTACGTGGAGCAAGGGTCTGGGGACTCACCTGTTTCCTAAGACTTTGTCCATCTGTTGTTCTGCACTTCGTTCATCCTTCACCCTCCTTCCATGGCTTCATCCTACCAACTCCAAGCCTTTGGGCTGGTTCTTAACTGTGTGTCTTCACTTCCGTTGCTGCTTAATTAGGAGCATCTTTTAGACCTTGGGTAAAGGACCTGTTCTTAAACAAGACCCAGAAAGCATTGACTGTGAAAAATTATTCTTCAAGTTGTTCATCACCTTAAGAAAAAAAAAGTATCAAGTCTTCCAAAGGTTTACCAAGAATTTAGTAAAGGCCTGCACCTCACTATGAGGAGGGCAGTGAGCTCAATTAATAATGAAACTTGAACTGAACATGTATCTCATGAAAGAGGAGCCACATTTGACCACGGACCTGTGAAGCGATGTTCAGCACCTGGGTGGTGAGGGAAGACCAGTCACAACCACACCAGAGACTACACTTCACTCACTGCCTGGCAGGATTAGAAAGTGGGACAGAGACCAATGTCGTAGAGTTTGCAGGTCCACACAGTCCCCTTACCCATACCAGATGAGGCTGAAAACTGCTCCAGCTACTGGGCAGAATAACTGAGTATTAGCTCATACTTTGGAAAAGAATTTAGCTTAATTCTACTCCCAGGGGTACACCCAAGAGAAATTCTTTAGCATATTACAAAAGGAGACACACAGAAGAGTACGTAGCAGTATGTTCACAATACCCCGAACCGGGAGCCACAGCCCAGGGGCCCATCAACAGGAAAGTGGCATATTATACAGCCAAAAACACCCAAACAAAGCTGCTGTGATAGATGAATGACTCAGCAATATAACAGCAAATGAAAACAGCCCCAGAAGGTTAGAGACAGCATGAAACACTTTTATAAAATAGAAAACTTTAAAAGGGAAACTTGAATTACAGGATTTGGTTTAATAGTTACTTCAGATGAGGAAGCAGGGGAATGAACCAATGGGAGGATAATTTGGTTAGAAGCAGGTTATTGTCGAGGTTTTGTTTTGGGTGGTGGATGTGTGGGGTCCTTGTTACATTATTGAAAATAACTGGATAGTTAAATACAGGGGAAAATAAGCTTGAAGGGCGGGTTCCCCAGGTGAGACAGAGACCTTCACTCCCACGCCCTTAGCGCTCTGGTTGTGTGCTGCGCCTGGTTTTTAAGAAGCACTGAACCACTGAACAAATACTTTGCAGTTGAAAGTCATAGAACATATGTTGCTCCGAAGTTAACAATCAAAATGTTCTAGATGGGATTCATATATCTATAAGTATCATATACTTTGTAGAGTATTTAGTGCATAAATATTTCTAGCTATTTCTGTTCTTTCATAGAAATTTTACATTTTTTTCCCTTTCTTAGGACAAAGTTAAACTATAATCCTCCAAAAGATGATGGATCAACCTATAAGATTGAACTTGAAGGGATATCGGTAATGGTTATGAGAGAGATCCTGGATTACATCTTCAGTGGGCAGGTATGCTGAGACCCAGAGGAAGGAGGGCTGAGTAGACCCTCAGGCTCAGGGTGAGGGTCTCCTCCATCCACGCTCTGGCCGAGCAGCCCCGTCCCCTCCATCTTCCGTCACCTCGGGCTTGACTTGCGTCTCCTCCCGCACGTGGCACCTGCGTGCCTTCTTCTGGGGTCTGCCCTTGAAAGAAAAGCAGGCTGATTTACCCAGATCCCAGGCTGTTTCTCCCATCCCGAGCACCACCGTCCAGCCTGAGCCGTGTGCACATGGGATCCCCCCTCACTGCCATCTTCTGGTGTCTAAACCTCCATTCCCGTCTTGCCCTGGACCCACACTCTTGGGGAACTCGGTCTGTCTCCATGGCACGGACCCAGGAACCTCTGTGGGCAGTGGGGATTATTCTCTAGAGGTAAAGACTTCAAGACTCAGGTGATGGGCACCTGCATTGTCTTCTCGATGCCTCGGTCCTGTCCCGCCTGACTCTTTCCTGCTCATTCCCCTTTACTTTCTGTACCCTTATATTTCTGGGGATTTCATGAAACCCAAGGAAGGAAGTGATCAGTGGCTAGGGATCCTTTCCTTTTCTTTGCCCTCCTCTGACCCACCCCACCCAGTACCCCGCTATTCATGTGGTTTAAAGGGTCGCATGAAGATTTAACAATCTGGGTTTGAATTAGGAGGATGCTGATGTGCTTTATGCCTGGTTCCTTGAGAGTGCGTTTTCTCTCTGCTCCTCTTAAGGGCGCGTGTCCTGCTCTCCCTCCTTCCTTCTCCTCATTCTTCTTCTGATTTTTCTCCTGTAAAGTCTCTGTCTCCTGCATAAGTATTCTGAGTGCACTGCTTACTTTTCTCTCAACGTTCGTTCTGTTCAGAATCACACTCGGTGACTGTCATCCTCTTTGAAGCCTTCTATTTCATTTCACGATGTTACCACTTTCTCTTTTCTCTAAACACTGGGTGGTGAGTGTGTGGAAGTAAGGTTATGTGTGTGATTATTTAAAATAAATGCACTTAAATCCATTTGGGGACAGCCCTTAAAATACTGGCAATGCTCTGAAGCATCACAAAATCAGACATAAGATCCAACTCTTAACCTAACGTGTAAAATCAATTCAGCAACAGTTATGACAGGTTAGAAGCCAGTTGAGCATGTCCGTGTTCAGGCTTGCATTTGGAACTTGAAACCTTACTTACCTGTGGTACCAAACATGTGCATCTTGAATCATGGTAAAATGTTTCTTGCTGCACTTCACTGTGAGATCCCTCCTTCATGTTTCCTTGTGGAGGATAAGCACCCATTCCTTGGGAGACTCTGGACCGTTTGTGATCATGGCAGTATTTTAGGGGCCTGTGTCTTTATGTTGCCTCACCGTAGTAGAAAAACTGTGAAGGGGGTGGAGGAAGACGCATCAATCAGAAAACTGAAGAAAATTAAGGAAAAGTAAATGTTCGCAATGGAACTTTGGGGGGATTTATTCCAGAAGGTAGCTTTGAGACCAGATGGTATCTTTCACACCGAGTGTGGTGTTTGGGGTGCAGAAGGCAGCCCCTCAGGCAGTGTGGCTCTCCCTCTCTTCAGCAGGGCCACATGGTATCTTTCGTATACCATGTGGCAAAAGGAGGGACCCTAATTTATTTGGAGGAAAGATTTTCATTAGTTGAAGTGCTTGCATTTATAGAAATCCTTTTCTGTTTACCATAGAATTGCAGAACTTGCCACTTCCTGATAAGCAGTTCAGTTATGTAAGGTTTTCCTCCGAATTAAGCGTGAGCACCATGGACAGTTCACGCAGAAGGGCTGTTGGTGGTTCGTGTGGGCAAAGTGAGGCAAGAACTGGGAGAAGCTGACCAGCCACGCACGGCCTGTGTCGTCCCCAGGTGCCCTGGGGCCCTCTGTCTGCTCTTGAAGCCACGGCTGAACCGTGTGCAATCTGCCATTCCTCGGTCGTCTTTGACCTCGAAAGGGGAGCTCCCGGTGGTTTGGCCTGCTAGATTAGTGGCGTGGGCTCTAGACGTACACTCTCAGATGTGAGCTGCCTGTGCTGGCCCCGCAGATCCGGCTGAGCGAGGACACCATCCAGGACGTGGTGCAGGCGGCCGACCTGCTGCTGCTGACGGACCTCAAGGCGCTGTGCTGCAAGCGTGAGCACCATGGACAGTTCACGCAGAAGGGCTGTTGGTGGTTCGTGTGGGCAAAGTGAGGCAAGAACTGGGAGAAGCTGACCAGCCACGCATGGCCTGTGTCGTCCCCAGGTGCCCTGGGGCCCTCTGTCTGCTCTTGAAGCCACAGCTGAACCGTGTGCAATCTGCCATTCCTCAGTCGTCTTTGACCTCGAAAGGGGAGCTCCCGGTGGTTTGGCCTGCTAGATTAGTGGCGTGGGCTCTAGACGTACAGTCTCAGATGTGAACTGCCTGTGCTGGCCCCGCAGATCCGGCTGAGCGAGGACACCATCCAGGACGTGGTGCAGGCGGCCGACCTGCTGCTGCTGACGGACCTGAAGGCGCTGTGCTGCGAGTTCCTGGAGGGCTGCATCGCCGCCGAGAACTGCATCGGCATCCGCGACTTCGCGCTGCACTACTGCCTGCACCACGTGCACTACCTGGCCACCGAGTACCTGGAGACGCACTTCCGGGACGCCAGCGGCTGCGAGGAGTTCCTGGAGCTCAGCCCCCAGAAGCTCAAGGAGGTGATTTCCCTCGAGAAGCTGAACGTCGGCAACGAGAGATACGTGTTCGAGGCGGTCATCCGCTGGATCGCGCACGACGCAGAGTTACGAAAGGTGCCTCAGCCTGCTCTGCCTCTGACGTTCCGCCTGCTCGTTCTGTTTGTGTATTCTTCACCCCAGTTTTACATGTTTTATCTTTCCCCTCCAACTTGACAAACTTGCAGAGTTGTGGTCTGAACCATGACCTGTAAAACATCTTCCCACAGGCTCTCTAAAGCGGTTGGTTCTTTTCTGATCCGTCTACCAGAGTGAGTGTAACTCATCACATAGCAGTGAAAATATTAACACTTAAAAGTGACTTGACATCCTTCGCATGTTGTTTTTAATGGGAAATGTGTTAGAGGATATCAGGTTTGAGACCGTTACCACATTCAGGGACGGTGCCTTAGCCTTTACATCACAGGGCTTTGAATCTCATGTGTATGTTCTAGAGGCTAGCTCCAAAATAAATATATAACATTTTGGAGAGGCTTTCAGAATGCATAATTGCGTTGTTAATTGTTCTTAGTGACCCTTGATTTACATGTTGATGATTAGCTTGTATTTTTAAATTCTGTAGGTCCATAAGCTGTGTCCACTTGGAAACCGCATTCTTAGTCTCTGCTCAGTTGCTACAGTCAGTGTTCTGTTTTCCACCTGGGTGGGTGGGTAGCTTAGGAAAGAGGAAAGAAGAGTTTCCAACTTGCCAACACCACTGAACTAGCTTCTCTCTGACCCTCTTCTTGCCTTAAAGCCATGAGGATGTCAAAGTTGGAGTGGCTGCTGGGAAAGAAAAGGCAGTTCTTCATCCTTTGGTTAATGCCAGCTTGATGCTGTAAGGACTGCAGGCCTTTATTGCTCAGGGTGTAGAAGAGTGTACCTTAAAATGATGATTCCAAAGCCCAGAAAAACTAGTCACCTTACATATGTAGAGTGCTGTTGTCATTTGGTTCAAATTTAATGATTGAGCATGAAAGGCATACAATTCATATTATACATGTTAGATCATTTTTAGTAGTTATTCCCAAAGAAATGATGACATAGTTGTCACGATTTTTGTTTTTAGAACTTGGGCTTTTTCCGATTTTTCTTACAATTTTAATGTTGGTACATTTTCATTATCTAGTTGACATATTGTATCCAGCTCTTCCGGTAACTAATATTTGTATAAATGGGATATAACTCATAGCACACCCAAGTTAGTGAGGTAAAGCAAATCATAGCAGAGTTCTTGTAGGTTTTCCTGTTGCGGTGGGAACCCTGTAGGGTGTGATGGAAGCTTCTTGAGACTTTGCAGTGACTCAGCAGATATGAATCTGAAGTGATGATATTTTAAGTTAAACTTTTGTTTATCAAGGCCAGAGGAAGTAGAAAGGAAAGGGGCCGCCTCACACATTCAAGCAGCACTGGCCCTTACTCCTTGCCTGTTGATCATCTCACTTGTCAACAACTGTAGTTTTCTATGAGTCAAAAAATGTGCCTTCTAAATGCATATTCTCCCTTTCTCCTCCCCGTGCTTTCCGCCCTGCTCTGCAGGTCCACATGAAGGATGTCATGTCAGCACTGTGGGTTTCAGGGTTGGACTCGAGCTACTTACGGGAGCAGATGCTCAACGAGCCCTTGGTCCGCGAGATCGTCAAGGAATGCAGCAACATCCCCCTCAGCCAGCCGCAGCAGGGGGAGGCCATGCTGGCCAGCTTCAAGCCCCGCGGCTACTCGGAGTGCATCGTGACTGTGGGTGGAGAGGAGAGAGTGTAAGCGTGGCCGTGAGCTGTGGTCTAAGTAAGGGAAGAGAGATTGCCATGTGCACAAGAACTCAGGACAGTTCTCAGTATCTAAAGCCTAAATAGGGATCGATTTTTATTGTTGTTAAATGTTTGAAACATTCTTGAGAGCAGTAAAACTCATAGTGGTTATTCTAAGCAGAATATAAACATAGTAACTGCTAACTGATCATCTGCCTCCTCTTAGTTCGCGGAAGCCAACGGCAGCGATGCGATGTATGTGCCCCCTTTACGACCCCAATCGGCAGCTGTGGATCGAACTGGCCCCTCTGAGCATGCCGAGGATCAACCACGGGGTCCTCTCGGCAGGTAGCGTGCCCTCATCTGCTTCACTTAAACACGAGATCAAGTGAGATGCAATTTCAGTGTTGTGCAGGATGACTCAGAACCTTTTAAAGACATTGACCCTCTATGGGGACATGTTTAGCGTGGCTCTAGCTTTCAAGATTGTGTTAAGAAGAGGGTCTTCTGACCAGTCCTTACTGTTCCCAAGTCTTAAATACGTAGCTGTTGTTTTTTTTTTAAGATGTCAGTAGCGGAGCATTTTTATTGGATGACTTAATTGCTAGAAGAGCAGGACCGAGTGACTCTTAGCACCCGCTGGCCGGATGATCACATCTGAGACGCAGATTTCCTTGAGCCATGCTAGTGCCCCATCTTGGCGAGTCCAGCACTCTAGAGTCACAGCATGTAACACACATCCAAAGTGAAAGTGTCATGTAAGAGCAGGCATTTCATAGGAGACTTGAGAAAATATTACCTAAATTAGTTCTGGCTTAAAGTTACTTGACTATAGAAACTATGTTTTAATTAACCTTTGCAAGTTTGGAACGTTATTGGAAATTCTCACTACCTTGCTGACTTTGTCCCACAGGTGCCATTTCACTTCGTTCTAACTATCATCAGTCTTCCTGGAGCTCTTCTTTCATAGTCTCTGTTTGCCCACTAACATTACGTTAACATTTTTAAGCTCTTCCACACTGTACTATATTGTAGATATGGCTAAAGCTGTGGAATAGAAATGGAATTGTAGGTTCCACTATTATTGATGTTTTCGTTATTAGTCAGCCAAATGGAGTGGTGTGGGCAACAGAACATGGATCTGATTTCTCTGTTCTTTTTCTCAGACTTACCTTCCTTAAATTTTCCTCCCATAATGTGTATAGTTGTGCATGATTTTTGCACATGCACACCTACCACAAAGGCTCCTGTATCACTGACTTTCAGGTTTCCTAGAGGGGTGGTAGTTTCAGAAACTTGAAACAGTGAGGAGAGGAGTTGTTTCCAGTCATGTTGACCAAAGTTGTGAAATGACTGAGTAGTTTCTGTGTGTCCAGCCTATTCCACGTTTCTTCTTTTCCTGCCTTCTTTCAAAAAGAACTTGATTGACTTTTTTTGTCATTCAATTTTTTCCCTCTCTACCAGATTAGAAGTTATATTCTATGTCTCTGTCCCTTTGAAAGTTACATTAGCATCCTCAGCCTGTATTGTTAAAAAAGTGTAGAGTTAATCAGTACATTTATATGCTATTTTTCATGTTCCACAGTTTTACAGTATCAAAATACATGGTTATTTACAAGTAAATGTTTACATGTATATGTGTTCTGTTAATCTATGTTCTATACATACCTATAGGTAGTATTCATTTAGATTTATCCACATATTTACCAACTTCTTTGTTTTTTCCCTCTTACTCCTCAAACTTTCCATCTGGGATCATTTTCCTTCTCTTTGAAGTTCATCCTTCTGAATTTCCTTTAACGTGGGTCTAATGATGGCAAACTCTAAGATCTGTCTAAAGATGTCATTATTTTGCCTTCATCCTTAAAGGATATGTTTGCTGGGTGTAGAATTTTAGGTTGGCCTCTATGATTGTTCAGCACACTGAAGATATTTTTCTGCTGACCTCTGTTATTCCTAGTTAAGTCAGTTGTCAGATATAAAACTCTGTCTTTTCTCTGGACTATATTTAAGGTTGTGTTTTTGTTTTGGTCTTTTTTCCCCTGTCATTTCAGTATTAGGTGAATATTTCATTTTAAATTTTACCATATCTGGGGATTGATCTAAGATCTGTCTAAAGATGTCATTATTTTGCCTTCATCCTTAAAGGATATGTTTGCTGGGTGTAGAATTTTAGGTTGGCCTCTATGATTGTTCAGCACACTGAAGATATTTTTCTGCTGACCTCTGTTATTCCTAGTTGTTAAGTCAGTTGTCAGATATAAAACTCTGTCTTTTCTCTGGACTATATTTAAGGTTGTGTTTTTGTTTTGGTCTTTTTTCCCCTGTCATTTCAGTATTAGGTGAACATTTCATTTTAAATTTTACCATATCTGGGGATTGTTGGGCATCTCGACTCTGAAGGTTGGCCTTTCATCAAATCTGGAAAATTTTTATTTATTATGTCTTCAAATGTTGTCCTTGCTCATTCTCTGTCCCTCTGCTTTTGGAAGTCAGATTAAACATGGCTAGACCTTTTACTCCATCCCCTGCCTCCTGCCTTCTTTTTGTTTTGTTTTCTTTGTGATGAATCTGCCATTAAATCCATCCATTGAATGTCTTATTCAATCTATTTAATCTTTTTTTTTCCCTCTAGAATTTTCTTTTTTTCAAACCTGCCATGTCACTTCTACCATCCCTTCATATAGAGTTATCTTTAAATAACATAGTGAGCATTTTTGTTTTGTCATCTCTCATTACTCTAACATTTGAAATTTGCAGTCTTTTTCTAGATTACTTCCTATTGTCTGTTTCTACTGCTCCATCTTCGTGGAGTCTAGTTCCTTTGTTTACCTGAGTATCTTTGGCTGGGTGCTGATCATTTTATTAAAAATTATTTGTAGGAAAACTTTAATGACTTAAAATCTTAGAATAAGATTCTAAAACTTAGATAAAGGTACTGTCTTCCATAGAAGTTTTGCATTTGTTTCTGCCAGTTGCCTAAAAACACTAATTTGTAATTACTGTAAATCAAATTCAAATTTTGAGACTTCTTAGATAAGCAAGGAGATTTAAACTTGGCTTCTCATTCTGATTGGCCTGCGTCCTGAGGGTTAGAACTTCGGAGAGGCTTTCCTGCCAGAAACCACACTCTCTGTGGGCCTGGGATTTAGATTTCTATCTTCTTCATGCCCTCACAGCCATTAAGAGAAAGCTTGCGTTTTTCCCACATTGCTAATGCCCTCAGAGCAAAATGGTTTCCATGCATGGTAACCTCTCCAGCCTCCATTTCCCTTCCGTTTAGCATAGTGTCTCTTTGGCTGCTTCTCCTCTAAGAAACCTATTTTATTTTAAAATATGGGCTGGGGAACAGAACAGACAAACTGAGGTAACTTAGAGTCACTTGATAACTGTGTGGGCTGGTGTCGGTTTTCCTTTTAAGCCACAGGGAAGTGGGAATCCGCTCAGAGATTCTGAGTGAAGTGAAATGGTTGGAGTAACTGACAGATTAACTGTGTCATCAAGGATTGAGTGAAGTGTGACAAAGATCTCGAATCGCTTGTCATCAAAGAAGGTGTCTCCACATACTGTCTCTGCCTTCACAGTATTTGTATTTGCCTGGGGATGGGTATTGAAAACTTACGCTTCAACTTCCTTGTGTGTCTCCTTTGATTTTTTCAGAAGGGTTTTTGTTTGTATTTGGGGGCCAAGATGAAAACAAGCAGACCCTGAGCTCAGGAGAAAAGTACGACCCGGATGCAAATACATGGACCGCACTGCCACCGATGAACGAGGTGAACAAAGCCTGGCTTTTTATTGTTTGGTGTTTCTTTTCACCCCCGTTAGCACTTTTGTTTGCTTCTGCCTTTGATGTAATGACAGAGACAGCGGCCCCGCCAAGATGCCTGCCTGATGTGCTCGTTCCCTCCACCCCACCTCCTGGGAACACGCTTGCTTCAGTCCTTTGCCAGGTACCCGCGTGGCACGCTGCCCGCCTCCTCCTCAGCAAGGCCTCCCCGCTGGCCCTCAGCTCCCCTTTCGCCTCCCTTGCTTTCTGTCTCTTCATACCACATCGGCCCTCCTCACACACTCAGTTCNTCCCCATCTATTTCCCATGTAGTGATGGGGCCAGATGCCATGGTCTTAGCACTAGGCCTTTTTAAATTGTTCGCATGGACTTTTGGATGGCAGGGGCTTCTGTCTGAGTGGTCAGTGCTGTGAGTGGGTGAGTGTCACACCGTGGGCAGCCTTCATGCAGGCCTGTACCCCACCCCTCCCCGCCACGGGCAAGCCTGTTGCTGGGGCTCTTACACAACTTCACATGTCAGCTGGGAGCCACTACTGCCCACTGCTGAACAAGAATCATTGTATGGAACCAGGTGGTAATCGTTCTTTTTCTTGTCATGAGCTGACGAGCGAAAGGTAAGTATTTTGCTAGTGAATCCACCTCGCATGAAATTCCCTTGTTCCGGGAAATTCCTGGACTTGGGTTCTCTGTCTCTTGTGATAGAAAAGTGAGCTTCTGGGGAAAGCAGAACTGTTGGAGAGACACAGTTCTGAGTCTGGTATTTCTTTGCAGGAATGGAATAATACCTGTTATTTGTATTAAATTTATGATTATCAGCTTTCAATATGATAGTCAGCCTTTTGTCTACAAAGCTCTTTACTATTTTTTCAGGCAAGACATAATTTTGGAATTGTGGAGATAGATGGCATGCTATACGTTTTAGGAGGAGAAGATGGTGAAAAAGAGCTAATTTCAATGGAATGTTATGATATTTATTCTAAAACCTGGACAAAGCAACCTGATTTGACCATGGTTAGAAAGGTGAGAACTGTACCTTGTGATAATTAATTCACACACTGGATTTTAAAGTTACTATTTCCTCATTTCCCACGGATGCCTTATAATGCAATTGATAGTGTTAAAGCATTAACATTACAGAAGTCTGTCTTTGCTGGTAGCTTCTTGCCTTCACTGTTGCCAGTCACACACCAAGCTGGGGAGCTGTGTGAGGGAGTTCACGGGGGCAGTGGGCTCTGGGCAGCGCTGCTGTGTCTGTGGCCCTCACCTGATAAACACTCCGCGATGGCACTAACCTAGGCAGGAATCGGATCTCCCAAACCTGTTTTCTTAATCGTCATGCACGCTTGGGAGGAAACATTAAGCCATTGATCCAGAGGTGAAGAACTGCCATTGGTTTCTGAGAAGAATGAAAACAGAGGGCTCCCATTAGCTGTTCAGGGTCTGTATTTCTGTTGCCTGGTGGAGACGGGCGTTTCATCATCAGGCCAGAGTCTTTCTAGCGCCCTGGGTATTTCACACCTTGGTACTGGGACTCACTGGTAATACGATCGCTCACTGTGTGCCCTTCCAGCTGACTTAATCTGGGGCAGGAGTTGAGTGACATCTTGTTCTGTGGACTCTGCATCTTGGACTCTTCAAAGGGTGGTGAAAGAAGAGAGCCTGGAAAGCTCCTTTAAAAGCAAGGCTTGGGTGCTTATCTCACTTAGTGGAGTAGGTTAGGTGGAGCTAATCCTTCCCTGAGGACGGTGTGTGTATTACCCATGTTCTTCCCATTTTTGAAAGCCTCTGTTGTAATATGGGAAGGCACCAGACTCCTACCGTCAGACCCTTTTCCAAACATCTCCCAGGGTTCCAGCCAAGCTGGTGTTGACTCAGCCAACTTTTAATGATAAATGTTGCCTCCCCCACTGTTGCTTCCTCCTTCCAGATTGGCTGCTATGCAGCTATGAAAAAGAAAATCTATGCCATGGGTGGAGGGTCCTATGGGAAACTCTTCGAGTCTGTGGAATGCTATGACCCCCGGACTCAGCAGTGGACCGCCATCTGTCCCCTGAAAGAGAGAAGGTGAGAGAGTGGGGATGTGTGGACTGTGCAGAGCCCCATTCGCCTGGCTTTCGCTTCTCCTTTCTTTTGATTGGATCTTCTATTTGACTTGCCATTTGGTTCGTATAACACTAAATGAATAATCCACTCCCTGCAAAAGGAAGACTCATGTATTTGTGAAACACTGAATGTCGCAGAGCTAAAACAAGCAAAAGAGGAATTAGGGAATCAAGTCCTGAGATATATTGATGAATCCAAAGCTTAGTATGTATGCATTATGTGGCCTTTCAGGTTTGGAGCGGTGGCCTGTGGAGTCGCCATGGAACTGTATGTATTTGGGGGAGTCAGAAGTCGCGAGGACATCCAGGGGGGCGAGATGGTAACTTGCAAGTCGGAGTTCTACCATGATGAGTTTAAAAGGTATTTATGAATGGTTTTGTGTGGCTTCTGCAACTTTCTCTTTATGCTTTCAAAGGCATGTCTTAGCTTCATTTAGTTTTGCTTTCAAATTATTTCACTGAACTCATATATTTATATCTAATGCATACTGGATATTTATTTAGTGACTTCAGAAGTCTTGGTAACTCATAGGAAAGCCAGAGAAAAATGTTTCTGAAGTGTAGAGCAGACCTTGACACTTCTGATAGCTTTTAGGAGAAAGTTTAAACTCCTTAACCCCTTAACTCATGGCCTTTTGTGACATGACCTGTGTGTATTCTTTCTGCTACTGTTCAACCCAGGTGCTTCACTTGAGTCCCACTGGGTGACATTTTCCCTCCAAAACATGGTATCATTGTCTTAGCTCGGTGCTTTCGTACTTTTCCTTTTGCCTGAAACTTCCCTTCTCACGTTTATCCAGTTAACTTGGCTTCTTCAGAACTCAGCTTAATGATCACCACCGAGAGAAGGCCTTCTCATGTCTCCCAGTCTGAGTTAGGCTCCTCAGTCTGTGATCCCATGCCTGTCTTTTTTGGATTGTGACTGTGAGCTGAAGCTCCTTCAGGGCGGGTTCCAGCTCAGCTCTGGGTCCTAGCTTCTGGCCTCCGTCACCCCTGGCCTGTATCAGACACTCAGTAAACGTGGTATCAGAGATTCTTAAATCATCTGACGGGCTGCCATACATGTGAGGTGGAGTGGGCAGCATCCGTCCAATCCCCCTCACTTCGCTCCTCTCACACGTTTTATTATAACCACTGAACAGCGTTTTTCTTGCAGTAATATGTTCAGATCCTATAGGGGAATTGCTGTGCTAAAGTTAATCTTGTGATAGCATTTCGATTGTGTTGCCAGAAGGGGGTGCCAGAATATAATGTTTAATTTCATATTATTTTAGCATAAACAGTGCACAGTTGCCAAGATTTTAGAAATATGTATGTTCTCTATTAATGTATTTTAATTTTATGATGCTTGCATAGCCTATTTGTTTGTTTTTTTCCCTTCAGTTACTGGGGGCAGACAATCTTATGAAAATCTACTAGACAAAGTGTGAGAGCAATTTGAGAATGCTTGCTACTATGGTCGGGACAGGGACAGAATTTCAAAGACTTTCTACACTTTTCTTCCATATGTGTTACTATGAGGGCTGACTGTTCACAGTACAAAGTAGTATATGACTTTCCTTTCCAAATGAATCTCAAAATAGTTGCCCCCCCCAAAAAAAAAGTTGCCCAAGTTCATTAACAAGCAGGGGTCAGTACATTTGGTTTCTGATAAAATATTGATAAAAGCCTTTCTCATAATGACTGGATTACTGTTTGGATAATGTGAGCTAGAGAGCTGTATCTCACTTGCTGGAGTAATCAAGGTTGCTTATAGTTTTACCATTTTCTATTCCTGTTTTGATTGTATGGGACTTGAAGCTGGCTGTGAAGTTTTCAGTCTGCCTTGATATGCTGTCATCATTAGCACTTTTAGATTTCTCTCAGGTTGTCTCCTGTTTACGGAGAATTAAGTAATAAGAGTGGCTCAGATGGTAAAGCGTCTGCCTGCAATGCGGGAGACATGGGTTCGATCCCTGGGTTGGGAAGATCCCCTGGAGAAGGAAATGGCAGCCCACTCCAGTGTTCTTGCCTGGAAATCCCACGGATGGAGGAGCCTGGTGGGCTCCAGTCCACGGGGTCACAAAGAGTTGGACACGACTGAGCGACTTCACTTTCACTTTTCACTTTTTCAATAAGAGTATTACTTGCTTTCATTCGTAATTGTTAAACATGACTGTTACTTTTTCAGTGCTATTTAAAGTACTTTCCAGTAAAATTCACTTATCTGTAGTTTGCTCATATTCAAGTTCTTCAGTGTTTGTTCACAAATAGAATGAAGAAAGCTTGATTTCTGTTGTCAATATACAGGACTCTTGTTTAGATAAAGCTAAACATAAACATATAACACTAAGTGCCATATATTACCTCATTTAACACATTTAATCTTCAAAACAGCCCTCTGAAATACAAGTACTCTTTTCATTCCTATCTTGCATATGAGGAAATCAAAACACAGAGAGGTTGAGTCATGTGCCCCAAAACACACAGGCAGCGTGTGGCAGAGCTGGCATTTGAACTCGGGCATTCTGGTCTCAGAGACCACCAGTTCAGCTACCACGCAGTAGTGCCTTAAAAACTTAGTCTTTCCCATGAAAACCTATAGAAGGGGGAAAACATCTATGAGTAGTTTCTCTCTTTATAGCTCAGATGTTCCCAAGTGTGTGGTATTTGCATACTTTGGAAGCTACTGCCAAATGAGCAACCTGCCTTAGATTGAAGACCATTTATTGTTTTTAAGTAATCTCTTGTCTTTCCTGTCTTTGTTCTCTATTTTTAGGTTAAAAGTTTCCTGGAAAAATGCCACATCTTACTATTTTCTGTGTTTCTGACTAAAAGCAAAACTGTTTGAAGGAAAGCAAAATTAAAAAAAAATTGCCCTTATTTATACCGAGTCACAGTAACAACTTCATATCCACAAAGACAAGTGTATCTACTCCTGTTATTTGCATTCCTACTTCTAGCACTGTACTAGACTAGTACTGTCATCCTCCCAGTGGTCTGTATTTCTTTAAAAGTCATCTTTGATTCTCTCTTACGCTTCACATCTCATGAGTTGCCAAATCTTATTTTTTTAAAACTCTGTAGTGGTTTTCACACATAGCCACCTTTATTTCTCTGCCACGACTCCAGCGAGTTCACTGTCATACGGGCGGTGTCCTTAGCCTTCTAACCAGTCTCTCTAATACATTTCACCTACTTGTGCTTTTGAAAGACTAATCTGCCTTTGGTCATTTCATTCAGATGGAGATTCTTCCTAGTTACCCCTTGCTTACCAAGTAAAGACATTAGTATTTAGCCTCCTCCTCGGGGCCCTCCGTGATCTGAGGTTGAGAAAAGTGTTCGGCCTTTCCCACTCTCTTCTGGGGTGCAGCTCACTTCTTACAGCCGTCCTGTGTCTTACTGCTTCTGCCCTCCCCTTCTCGTTTTTAACAGATAAATCATGTTAACTATTCTCTGAAGTCAAGACCTGTCAGCTTCATCTTTTGATGAATGTATACTTGGATAGACATCTCTGACCACTGTCCACATCCCCATATGGTTCTCTGACCTGCGGGTCAGGGAGCATTATGGGAGCAAGGGTTAAGTGGAAGTCACTGGAACGTTCCTCCCCTGCCAAGGTAGAGAACTGCATCCTGAGGAGCGTGCAGACCTCAGTGCCACCATCAAAGACTCGCAAGTGCAAGGGTGGTGCCCCATCACATCCCCACTTAATTCACTTAGAACAAGTAGAAGAGTCAGCTGCAGTTTGGAAAATAGCCATCAGCTTTCCATGAACTTAAACAGGTGGTTAGGTGGTCACCGACCTAATGATTAACTAGCAGGAGGAGTTAACTGCTAACCTGTGAGAGGAGACTCTGATGAAAGCAGAAATAGCCAAGAAACAAGTGCAGTGGCAGCCTTTAGGACCAAGGGAAAGTGTCCCAGGAAGGAACAACCTTGGAAGTTTGCTCCCCACCCTGCAGGGCTGGGATGCACCTCTGTGGGGGCGGGGGTGCAGTGGCCCAGGATACGGTAGAGCCCTGGGACGCGGGGCCAGAGCTGGTGCGCAGGAAGCTGCTTGCTGGCCAGCAGAGCACCCCGCAGGTGAGCTCCTCCGGGTCCCCTGCACACTGGAGACGGCAGAGCAGACCACCACCACCAGGGAAGAAGCCCTTTACTCCCCAAGCCTTGCAGTCCCTCCAGCACCCTCTGTTGACAAAGTTTAGCATTGCACTTGCCTTCTCAAAGAGCCTGCACATCAGTGTTCATTTTCTCCATTGTGTATTGTTTCATTGGTTTCTCCTCTTGTCTATCTTATTTCCTTCCTTTTACTTACTCTGGGTTTATTTTGTTTTTCCTTTTCTACCTTCCTCAGGTAGCATGTTAGATTTTTAAAATTTCTCTGCTGCAGTCTCCCATCTTTCCATCATAAGCCTGTTTTCCTTTTTTGCTTACTGAGCATCGTTGTGCTAGCTGTATCCACATCCCTGCCTGGTAGATAATCCCATCATCTGAGTCATCAGAGTTGGCGTCTGTTAATTGTTTAGTCCCCCGAGAAGGGGTTCTTATTTATCTGGCTCTTTTGTTGAGTACGTCTGGATTACGTCCGGGCTTTGTGAGCAGGACACTATTGAGGACCTGAGATCTCTCCTGGCACTCCAGAGAGGTGCTCCCAGCGTTTTGCAGGCAGTGGGCGTGCTCAGACTTGCTGAGCCTCAGCCGCAAGCATCCATGGGTCCAGTGCCCGTAGGACGCGAGGTCAGCGATCGCCCATTTTCACTTTACAGGGAGAGCTCTTAGATTTTTCCCTTTTTCTATTTATTAGAGGCAGCGGCCAAGGTGTATTCCCAGTCCCACAAACTGCTTGATACCAATCAGCTTTCAGATATTAGAGGAATCAGATCTTTGCTTTATAGCAGCTTGGCCTCTGAGTTCTGTGATCTTGGACAACATTCTGCTGCTACATTTCTTGGGATTCAAAATAGGGAATGTACCACTCTGTAATAATCTGGAGAGAGTGTGCATTGGGAAAAACAAGCGCTGCTCATAGTGAAATAATCTTCCGTGCTCCAGTAGTGAGTGAAGGCCAGGACATTGGTGGTGCTAAAGGGCTTACATACATTTCCTCTAACTGAGGTCTGCTCTGACCTGGCTATGCCTTTAGCTATGAAAGGAAATTGATCAAATTTACTTAAGTGAACGTTATTATATAGCAGAGTCTAGTTTGTGTTGTTTTAAAGCAAAAACAAAAACCTTTTATTTGGGAATAATTTTAGACCTGTAGAAAAGTAGCAAAAATAGAGTTCCCTTAAGCCATTCACCCAGGTTCTCCTACTGTTAACATCTTGCACACTGTAGTATTTTTCACTCTGGTACAATATTATTAAGTAAACTACAGACTTTATTCAAATTTTACCAGTTCATCCACTAATATCTTTTACCCTTGAAGGTTATTGGATAGTTTTTTCTCGATGTCTCTCCATCTGGGTTTGTCTGATGATGTCTCATGACGAGGCTGAGGTTCTGCGTTTGGGGTGGGGATCCCTCATAAGTGCTTCTGGGCCCTTCTCTGCCCGGTGGCAGCAGGAGAGACACTTGGTCCCATTACTGGTGATGCTGATCTTGATGACTTGGTTAAGTGCCATCTGTGGGGTTTCCCCACTGTAAGGTCACTGCTTCTCCCTTTGTAATTCATGAATATCTTGGAAGAGATAATTTGAGAATATGCGAATATACTGTTTCTCCTTAAATTTTCACCACTAATTGAGCAACCTCAATGGACTGGCCTCACAGAAGTTAGAACCATGGTGTTTGCCTCCTGGTGATTTTTCTGCTTCCCTCATTCCTTCTCCCTTTGTTAGCTGGAATTCTGTAAAGAACACCTGTCCCTTCGTCCTATTTTCTTTTTAATGGATTGAGCCATTTATTTATATCAGTATGGACTCATGGATGTTTATTTTATTCTCTGAGTTACCCATCCAGGACTGTCATTTCCTGTGTGGCTCCAGTTGCTCCAGCTGTGGCTGTCAGGAGCTGCATGTCAGCTGTGTCCTCTGACACACCTCATCCTTTTTGAAATGCTTCCTCCATGGCAGCACAAGATGGTCCAGGCTCATCTTGTGTTTTCTGTCTCAGCTGTGGAATCAGCCACTTCTTCATGGAGCCCTGGCTCCTTTTTGTGGTTATTAAATTGGTTTTCAACAGAAGAGCCAAGGCAATTTAGCAGGGAAAGAAATGTCTTTTTAGCAAATGATGCTGGGAAAACTAGCTATCTGTATGCCTAGATGTAACGATAAAAAGGACTTGACTCATACTGCACACCATATACCAATGGTAACTTGAAGTGTATCATGATACCTAAATGTTAACACTGAAACAATAAAATTTCCAGAAATTTTAATTTAAAAAACTTTTGCAACTTTGAAATAGGCAAAGATTTTCTAGAAGGACATAGAAAGCATGAACTGTAAAAAGAAAAAAAAAATGATAAACTGGAATTCACCAAAATTAAAAAACTGCTGTTCTCAAAAGCCCCCATTAAGATAATGAAAAGACACTCTACATGCTGGGGAAAAGGATCTGTGATGCACATATCCAGCAAAGGACTTGTAACCGTAAAATGAAAAAGAATCTAAAAATTCAGTAAGACAGAAAACCCAGTTTAAAAAATGAACAGACCTTTGAGCAGACATTTCACCAAAGTAGATACACAAAGTGTCCAGTAAATACACACAGAGATGCTCAGCATCATTAAAGTGAAAAAAGACCGACAGTACCAAGAGCTGGCAGAAATGCCCAGCAGCTGGAATTTTCACACGTTGCTCATTGACATGCAAAAGGACACAGCACCTGGAAAGCAGTGGGCATTTTCTTATCAAAGGAAATATACCTTTAACCGTATAAACAAGCAATTCCATGGCATAAGCCCACAAAAGAGCTTTGCCCTCTAATGTCCAAAATAGCTTCACTCACAATAGCCAGACACTGGAAAGTTAGTTAATCCCACAGTCGTGTCCAACTCTGCGATTCCATGAACTGCAGCCTGTCCTGCTCCTCTGTCCATGGAATTTCCCAGGCAAGAGTACTGGAATGGGTTGACATTTCCTTCTCCAGGGGATCTTCCCGACCAGGGGATCGAATACAGGTCTCCCACATTGCAGGCAGACTCTACCAGCTGAACCACAAGGGAAGGTTGACATTAGAGGCTGCCCAGATGAACCTGAACAGGTCAGTGGCTGACAAATTCTGCTACACCGTGTAGGGCTGCTGCTGCTGCTGCTAAGTCGCTTCAGTCGTGTCCGACTCTGCGACCCCACAGACGGCCGCCCACCAGGCTCCCCCGTCCCTGGGACTCTCCAGGCAAGAACACTGGAGTGGTCTGCCATTTCCTTCTCCAATGCATGTAGGGCAGTCCTACTTAAAATAACAAGAAATGAGATAATGATGAAGCCACAGCAGGGGTGAATCTCAGAAACACTGTGCTGAGGGACAGACGCACACTGGATAGTGCAGTCTCTGTGATTCAGTACATGCCACCTTCCGGAACAGACACGACCCAGTCTTCAGTGACACGAGGGAGATGAGCATTTCCCCAAGATAGGGGTGTGGGGGTTGTGCCTCCTCCTGTTGGCGGCGCCCCGAGCTTTGTCATCTCAGCCTGCCTGGATGTCATGGGCCATCCTCTTGGCCTCCTTCATCCTGTCCCTCTGTTTTCAGGTGGATCTATCTTAATGACCAGAACTTATGCATCCCGGCCAGTTCCTCTTTCGTGTATGGAGCCGTCCCCATAGGTGCCAGTATCTACGTCATCGGAGATCTCGATACGGGTCAGCATGTTGAGTGATCTCATGGGAGCACTTTCCCGGGGGTGGGGGTGGGGGTGGGGGTTGGGGTCGGGGGTCCCGGGCTCCCCAGGCGCGGTGTGTCACCTCCCCTTGTTCTCCCGGGGCGCAGGCACCAACTACGACTACGTGCGCGAGTTCAAAAGGAGCACGGGAACCTGGCACCACACCAAGCCCCTGCTGCCCTCCGACCTGCGCCGCACGGGGTGCGCAGCCCTGCGCATCGCCAACTGCAAGCTCTTCCGCCTGCAGCTGCAGCAGGGCCTCTTCCGCATCCGCGTGCACTCGCCGTGACGCGTGGCCGCGGGACGCGCCGCTCCTGACCTCGCGCCGGCCTCCGCGCTCCGCGAGGGGACAGACGGCGGGGCCCCTCGCCCCGCGCCGGCCTCCGTGCGGTAACGCGGGTGGTTTTCTAATGCTTCGAAGCCTGGGCTTCAGCTCTTGTTCCGGAGAACATGTAAACTGAAAAAAAAACTACCAAGGTGGGGAATCCATTTCTCCTGTAGGTGTGTCCCTAGACCAACCGGGGCTAGGCAGTGTCCGAGGAAAAGGGAAGTGGGAATCGTGTAAAATATGGAAGTTAAAACCCTAAGGTGCATTTTCCCGGAGGGGATCTCACGTCTGACTAACCGCTGTGTTCAAGTACCTGGCTTTGGTTGGGGAAAAAAAAAATCCGTATATGCAAATCAACATATCCAAACATACCAGGATTGCTTTTCCACTGCACTTGGAAGGAGATATTATGCCTAACTCTTCCCAACCATTTAAGGGTTTGTGCCTAAAAATGTTAGTTTGGACTTGACGCCAGTTAGTCTCCACTTAACTACTAGCTCTCTACCCTAAGAATCTTTTTTGAACTAAATTATGATGAATCGAAACTAAGATAAAATTTCTTTTGTATGACATTCTATCTTAGTAATCTAAAGGGTCAGTAAATTAAGGAGTCAGGTGGCAGCCCTCCTGTGACTTTGAAGAAGTTGCAACTTCTGTGTTAATTCAGATGAAGATGCGTCATGCTGTCATGTCTGGGGTTGAGAAGGACCTCTTGCAGTGCCATTCTTCCTTTCCAACTAAGCAGAACCATTTTATAAATCTGAGGACATTAGTGAGTAGGAGATTTTATAAAAGAAGGACCCGAGTCGGACAAATAATAAAGGTCTGCTATGACCAAAAAAAAAAAAAGGTCCAGAGAAAATATATAGGGATCAAAAACTTAAAAAAAAAAAAATCTGCCTGAAAGCACACAAAGTCTTGTTTACTACTGTCTAGGGTTTGAAAATGTCTTAGAACGAGAATTCATGTTAAGAATCTAGCCTTTGTAGCAGAATTTTCTCAATGCCGTTCACTAGTACGAGTTTCTGACAAATTACATAGCAAGTAAAGTTTGGCTGGTAGAATAAACTACCTCAACTTAATTTCATTCTGTTCATAGTAGAGCAAATTAATCCTTTCCTCTCTCATCTCCATGTCAACCCACATTGACCCCTCTTCCCATGGGGGAAAAAAGTCTGTCATTAGTGGCACTTAACCTTGTAAGATACTTTGTTTTCCATTTGGATTATGCCACTTTCATGTGAAACCAGGGACTTCAAAGTGCTTGATGAGTTTATCATTTGAAATTTATGCAATATCAGATTTCTAATCAATATAGAGGTCTTTATTTCTAATTGTTTTCTACAGCTTTTTTTCCCCTCCCTCTTAGTATATGGCTATAAGAAGCAGCATTTAGTCTTAAAGATTAACAAATGTATAAATGTATCCTTTGGTTATAAATTTGAGAATAGGAATTTCTTCTGGAAACTTCCTGCCTAGAATGTTCATATGCTTTTCACATGCATATGAAACATCACTTGTGTTCTTCCACCCAGGGACAGTAGAAGGGGGACCTATGTGCAGTTTTTTTTCTTCTACTTGTTAGAAGTCAATCCAATGCTAGAAAAGGTCGCTGAGCAGCCTTGCCTGTGGGGATTCTGAAGAATGCTATGTGTGCACATTTGCTCTCCATCCTGGCAGAAGACATGGGTCACAGAGGCATGGGGTTTTTATCTTCTCTGTCAGAGGCACTAGGCCATTCACCTAGCAGATCTTACCTGTATGTCGAAGCCAGCCTCTTTGCTTTGTACCGTGTACCACTCAACTGTTGTCTGCACGCTTTCCCCAGGATGTCTTGGATGTCTTTTAATCACGGCAAACTACATGGCCACTGCAAAGAAAGAAAACTTTCTTTGTACAACTAGATGTTAATTTTATGGGAAATAAACTGCCGAAAGAGTGGGTTTTCTTTGGTAAAATGCCCCATACTGAACAGAACCCAGAAGCCACCACTGAGGTACATTAAAGTGGTAACCGATGTCCTGTTAAAGCCGTGACAGTCAGCAATTCTCTTTTCTTTAATTTCTGAAGTTTAAAGTTCTTTCCAGGCTACGCCAGGCCTCTCCAAGGAGACAGTTCATTGTTCAGGAGTGAATGAGTCCCTATTGCAATACTATCAGTGCCTGCATGACTTGGTCAATTCATTTTATAAAAGTTTTTTTATTATTATTATTTAGTTTGTTGACACTGTAGCTGCAGAAGTTAGGTAATGTTTTCTAAAAGTAAATTTGCCACATAATATGGGATGCAATAACCAACAAAAGCTGCTAAGTGCCAAACTGTTATTTTGTTATATATAAATATAAAAATATTACATTGAAGTGTCGGGATGTATTTAATTTTATTATGTTCCAAAATTAATCATGATTTTCTTGTAAATCACAGTTACGTTAGTATTGTGAAGTAAATTTGAACTCATTTCATGCAGGTTTGTGTTTTAACCATCCACTTACGCCTTGAAACATCCTTTCTTGGTAAATTTTTGATACTTCTTTTAACAGAAGGCCCTTTACCAGATATATGCTGAAATTAGTGGCTAAAAGTCTTAAAATTTTAAATATAATATCTTGGGGGGAAGTGCAATTTATTTTCATTATCCAGGTTGTCTCAAGTTAGAGTAAGTGAATATTGAAAGGATTTTTTCTAGGCTACAGTCTAAAGTAGGTTTGTTTGTTTCTTTGTTTAATACATCCAAACATAGTTTGTTTTTTTTTTTTTTTCAAAGATTTAAGTGTTTAATTTAAAATGAAGTTTTTAATTTTTTGTGATAGTGCTTATATCCTGTGAGACATAAAAATGAGTGTGAGAGGGGAGAGAGAGAGTTTGTGTGTGTGTGTGTGTGTGTGTGTGATGTGATTTGGTAAGTCTGTTTATATATGTTTACTTTTGGAATTGTCATTCCAAACTACATATATTATTGTCTCCTGGTGCTTCAGAGAAATTCTTGAGCCTGTGGCCCTTCAGCTTATACTACTGTGTTAAACTCATGTTGAGTGAATATATTGATGTATTTGTAGTTTGTACTAAGTTTTACTTGGCATTTGCATTTCTTTTCTTTAGCATAGTAAAAACAGTGCTTACCAACTCATAGTTGGTATACTGTAGGAATTTGGCCTAAGAAACTTCTAAATTCACCATTTCTTTCACTAATCCATTCTTTGATCACCCTCAGGAGTTGATAGCTAACAGTAGGCTTTTTTCAAACTGTGCAGCAGCCGAAAAGGCATATTTGGGGGCTGGTGGACAGTATACTGTTTGTCTTGAAGGGTTCTTTCAGCTTGCACTACCACTTTAGTGATGGCACTCTCTTCAGCGATGCTTTGGAAGTGCCATTCCGTCCTTTACGAGCGGGGAGCTCCCTGGGCGATGCACCGGAGCTGCATCCTTTGTATTGACGTGAAGACCCGGCTCCTTTGCTGTGGCACCGCAGCTGCTCAGGGTAGCAGGCAGGGTTCTGGAGAAATGTGGTAGCTGCCTTGGTCCACTGGGTTTCTGCCTGGGGCGTTCTTACTACGGTGCGCCAGACCAGGGATCCCCAGCAATTTTCCAAGGAGCTCTAAAAACACTACAGTATTACCTTCTAGAGTGTTGGCTCTCTTGATTCAAGAGGCTGCCGCCTGTGGTCAAATGAAGACATGCAACTGTCCAGGGAAAGAATGAGGCGGCACTTGTACTGCATCAGCTTTGAAGGTGCTGGAACCCCCTCACAGAGCAGCCAGTGGAAGGGAAGGGAAGGGTGAGGCTGCTTGGATTCAGGGGCTGCCCTGTGGGCTCTGAGAGAAGTGATCCCGCTGGGCACAGAAAAGCCCACCCTGGGTTTAATCACCAGTGTTGATTAAGCTCCTACTCAGAATTCTGCTTGGGCTTCTGGGGAGCATCACAGCAAGGCAGGTAAACTCCTCGTGGGAGGGACCCTACCTTAGTCTTCTGCTAATCCCAGTGCTCGCACACCGTAGGTAGTCATTTATTATGACCAGTGACTATAGTGGCCTTGCAATCCAAGTGACATTCTTCACAGGACTGAAAGTGACTTGCTTTTAAATGGGATTTTTAAATGAGAAGCTTTGTACACAGATGGGCTGGCCTGCTAACATAGAGCTAGAAACCTGTACAGAATAAAAAAGCAAAGTGCCTGACCTATATTATGCACAGCTCTGTGGCCCCTGTTTGTTCCATAGGATTTCTGAGGCCCTATCCTCAGCATACCTAATAATGCTTATCACATTTAATTTTGTTTTCACTGATTTTTATATGGGGCGCAGGATCTTCCCAGAACACACTCTTTGACCCTGACCTGTCTGTGACAGGTGCAGTGGTCTCTGGTGGACAGAAAGCATCCTAATAGATACAGCTTCACTCCCCACTTCAGATGTGGATGGAAACCAAAACGTGGAATCCAGTCTGTAGACTCTCATTTCACTGTTCAGCCAATTAGAATATCACTTAACGTTAAAGGCATGCAAGTATTTTAATCATATAAGAATCACTTATAGTGTAACTTAAACTCCCAAACATATCCTTTACAAGCTACACAAATATAAACTGAAAGATCTTTGGTTTTCTTTGTCAGTTAGCTGTGGGAAATTTAAGAATTTACTAAAATCGTAAGAGCAGAGGTAATAAGTATTTGTGTTTGAGAGAGAAGCTGTTTTTACTTTGAAAAGCTGAAGCTTCACTTACCCTTCGCTTCTTTCCCACATTTAAGGAAAAGATACTGTGTCTTAGAATGTTGAGGAAAGCATTTTCTAGTTTTCTAGTAATCCATGAAGTCTCCTTTGAGGCTGGTTCAGAAATGATAGAAGTTTATGCTACAAGGGTGAGGAATGTGACACATGTGCTTAAATCTGAGGAGAACGTGAGCTCGGGTGAGTTGGTCCTGCCTGTTGCCAGTGAAGTCCCAGTGATTACTGAACTGGCGGCTTCATCTATTCTT